GAACCAGTGCTGCATTCAACATACCACGTGACACACAAGGTTGATGTTTATCTGTGTTTTTAATATTTACTTTTAAATTAACAAATTGAGTGATATATAGTTTAAAATGTGAATTATAATCTACAGTTTGATACCAATACATAAATTCACGAAATAGTAGTTCAATAAAATTTTGAATGCGAGTCAACAAACGAGATAACATGGCCTTTCACCTGTGACCCATATCGAAAGGGTTAATCTTCTTTTCATGGAGGTGATAAAAACCACCCTAGTAATTAAGGGTTTATTAGGCCTTACATGAGTAGTGGGAAAAGCTTTTGAAAGTCTGATAAAAGATGCTTTGCACAGTTACGACCAAGTTTAAAATTTTGTTGGAGAGTCAACATGGTTTTACTAGGGGGATATCTTGCCTTATTGATCTTTTGACATTCTTTGAAAAGATGATTGCTTATGTAGATGAGAGTATGGGTGTGAGGTTGGTGTATTTGGATTTTCAGAACACATTTTATTAACATCAATGACAATGGAATGGTCAATCAATTATTCAAGTTTGGTGATTATATTACAGTTCTGGGTGTTGTTGCCTCTGAGGTGGATGCTGCTGTTTGCGAGAAAAACAAATAAAAGCCAGGTGGCTTTTAAATATACTGAATGCAAGGTAATGCATGTGGCATATCAAAATTTAAAGTATGAGCACAGTTTGATGCAATAACCTTAACAATGTTATGGAAGAAAAAGGACCTTTCTAGTTGATCAGTCTCTTAAGCCATCTAAGCAAAGTGCTGTTGCTAATGGCAGGGAAAACAGGATTTTGTGTTTTACCTATAGAAATACTGAATATATTATAATGCCATTGTATTGGTCACTGGTTAGGCCACATTTGGAGTACTATGTTTAGTTTTGGGCCTTTTGAATAGACTGCCTTCAGATGTGGTAGGGAGTTTAAAGGAAGGCTTGATGAATAACTGAATAATAAGAGCTGGCTTTTAGTGTTTAATTTTAGAGTCTTGTATAGTAGATTGGATGGTCTAGATAGATCAACAGGTCCCTTGTTGTCCTTAAGTTATATACACATATGTAATTTGTATGATTCTCTTCAAACTGTTCATAAAGATAAGCAATTGACAGTTTGGTGGTGACATTGCTGGATAAAATTAAACATGTTTTTAAGGACTTAGCCCTAAATTATGTTTTATAATTACTTTGGAACAAGGTCTGATTTCTATTTTGGATAGAAAAATAATTATATAAATAGGCCTAGTGAGGAGAGGCATGGCGTAGGAGCATTTTCAAGGTTATGAATTCATATAAATACCAAGTATAGTATTAAAATGTTTTAACAGAAAATAAATAGTCTTTTCAATGTTTTCTTCATGATTCAAATAATTTGATTCAGTGTTTTTTTATTTCTATATAGCAAGTATCTGAAGATGCATTCTACCTATACGCTGGTGCAGTGCAATGAAAATTTTCTAACTGCTACACAGTTTTATGTAGTAATTGTTGCTATGGAAATTCTTTGAAATTAATCACCCCCTATAATGGGACACACACACCACAGCTCTACTCATTAACTACTTCTCTGTGCTGGGCCCGTTTTCATAGGGACACACACCACAGCTCCACTCATTAACTACTTCTCTGTGCTGGGCCCGTTTCATAGGACACACACCACAGCTCCACTCATTAACTACTTCTCTGTGCTGGGCCCTTTTCATGGGACACACACCACAGCTTTACTCATTAACTACTTCTCTGTGCTGGGCCCGTTTCATGGACACGCACCACAGCTCCACTCATTAACTACTTCTCTGTGCTAGGCCCTTTTCATGGGACACACACCATAGTCCACTCATTAACTACTTCTCTGTGCTGGGCCCTTTTCATGGGACACCACAGCTCTACTCATTAACTACTTCTCTGTGCTTGGCCCTTTTCATGGGACACACACCACAGCTCCAGTCATTAACTACTTCTCTGTGCTTGGCCCTTTTCATGGGACACACACCACAGCTCCACTCATTAACTACTTCTCTGTGCTGGGCCCTTTTCATGGGACACGCACCACAGCTCCACTCATTAACTACTTCTCTGTGCTTGGCCCTTTTCATGAGACACACACCACGGCTCCAGTCATTAACTACTTCTCTGTGATTGGCCCTTTTCATGGGACACACACCACAGCTTTACTCATTAACTACTTCTCTGTGCTTGGCCCTTTTCATGGGACACACACCACAGCTTTGCTTATTAACTACTTCTCTGTGATTGACCCTTTTCATGGGACACACACCACAGCTCCACTCATTAACTACTTCTCTATGATTGGCCCTTTTCATAGGACAGACACACCACAGCTTCATTCATTAACTTTTCTGTGCTTGGCCCTTTTTATGGGACACACTTACACACACGTATCTCCACTCATTAACTACTTCTCTGTGCTTGGCCCTTTTCATTAACAAATCCTGCTAAAAAGTGTGACATATCAGAATGACTTTTAGGGTAAACCTCGTTCATCTGAATGCACATGTGATGAACTAACCTGTTCAGATTATCAAAAAACTCAGATAATCAAATCAGTCACATTAAATATAATGGACACATTTAATAGTGTAGGTAAAAAACAAAACAAGTGTATTTATAATAAACTTACAAGTTTATTATTTTGTATGTTGTTAATAACTATACAAATTACATAATCAAATTAGCATTTCATTATCTTCACGCAAGTCATTACTTTGTTTATATCAATGATCTTTTACAAATATGAAACACATAGTATTGGTAAAACACACACAAAAAAATCACTTTCCAAAGAAGGATGTAATCACAGTCTGCTTTTGAAGCTTCTCAGCAGATAACACGTTACACCATCATTTCCACAACTCTTGATCAGTTGGATTTGCAGAGTCATTGTTAAGCCACTGATCAGACAACACAGCATCATTGATGTTTAGGATTAAAATATGAATTCCAGAAGCAATCTTATTAAAAACTTCTCACATCTTAACAGTTTCTGATAAACTCCATAATAATACTGGGCCATGTAAAACCATTTGTAAAGTCCCATGGAGATTTACAGTTTATGGATACTTATTTTCAGCACATTCTGTGGTTTCTAATCAGCTGACGACAGTAGTAAGCTTTGAATGATCTGATTATACCATCCACCATAACTTCAAAACTGCTATAGTGCTAAACTAAATCACTGATGACCTTTAGATACCTACTGTTCTCAGAAAAACTGTCTGAAACCAATGACCACTAATTAGTGTAATTTTTTGTGGAGGACAGTAATTATCACCTACTTACCAGTTTGGATCGACCCCTACTTGACTCTCGTGGCATCATTACCGAATTCATGCACTTCCCTTGTCGGGTTTTAAGGTCTGTTAAACTAAACCTGGGAGACTCAAGTGCGTTAGACCTCTTACCGAGCATGCTTGTTATAAGAAATAGTTGGTTGAATTCAGAAAGTGAATATACGAATTACTGATGAAATTTCTCATTGTGAAGATTTGTCTACTGTATACGAGAAAACATTCGGATTGTGAATAATCCATATTGCCGATCACACTCATTTTCTGTATTAAAGTAAAGAGGGTTCAAAGTACTTTAAATAATGTACCTAACTTGTAATACAAAATATATTTACTCTTCTAACTCTAAGTTCTAGTTGTAACCTAAAACTGGGTAGTATTATTACTCGGTTTATACTTGTTAATATTACTACTAAGTTCTACAACTTGTAGTTGTACAATATATTGTAACTTACCGCTAAAAACCATTGCTGCTGTGGATCCCATGACACCAAAAAAAGGTCCATATATGGGAGTTTCTTCAGTTAGTCCAGTCATTTTCTTTGAGGCTGAATAGCTCGGGTCAAAGGAAAATACGCTTAAGTTAAACTTAAACTACACTTGCGAAACGTACAAAACTCACTAATCTGGTTCTAATGCTTGTGATTGGAGAAGTACGGGTCTCGCGATACGTGTGATTAAACCCGTCGCTTAAGGCGAAAAGCATGTGATCTGCATAGCAGGCGTTTTCGAGTTTAAAAAAATTAATTCACATATGAAACGCTAAAAATTTTGAAAAGACTAATTAATTTTGTTTTAGATTTTTATTAACACCCTATTTTGTAATAAACTAGAAGTATGGAAATAATGTGAAATATCTAGAAAAATTAGTTGCGTTTTTTTACGTCTTTTATATTATTTTCAGTATTTATTAAAATTTGTTAGTATGTGAAATTGTATATCTCCCCATACATAACAATAGCTATTAATAATGTTGAAATTTAACATTACTCATGTATATAAGATTTGTTGTTGTTTATTATTAAGCACAAAGCTACACAAAGGGCTATCTGTGCTCTGCCCACCACGGGTATCGAAACCCGGTTTCAAGCAGTATAAGTCCGCAGACGTACCGCTGTGCCACTGGGGGCATGTATATGAGACTAAGGGTTAAATATATTAAAATATTCACATAGATTCTTGTTTGAGCACTCGACTTTCAGCTGATGTATTGTGGTATATGAATATACTATGCGTTTCTCTTTTCTTGTAGTATTAGATATGTATTCTAAAGTAATTTTTTGTTCTCAATATTTGCAGACTTCATATAACACATGATCGAGAAAGCCGTTAAGTTGAGCTTGCTTCAAGTTACCTTTGTTCTTTTGCTGTTTTCTAATGTAGGTAATACCCTTTACCGCTGGGGAGAACATTATTCAAAACTACACGTTATGTATTGTTACGACAGCGGAAGTCACGTGACGCTAGTAACACGTCATGATATTCTCGAAGGTTCGTGAATGCTCGAGTGCTTACTGGATGTGCGGTATTCTTGTATATA